ACAGCCGGACGTAGCAAACTACCCGCTGCTCCACTGGCTGTCAGCCGAAGGCACGAAACCGCACAGCACGCTGCACTGGCTGTCAGCCGAAGGCACGAAGCAGCGCAGCGCGACCGTTGCGGCAGAAGCTAGGCGGGCTAGGCGGCTAGGTCTACAGTCTACAGGCTTATAGAGGGCTACAGTTGTAGTGTGGCAGTAGCAGTAGTAGCAGTAGCAGTAGCAGTAGCAGTAGCAGTAGTAGTAGTAGTAGTAGTAGTAGTAGTAGTAGTAGTAGTAGTAGTAGTAGTAGTAGAAGTAGTAGTAGTAGGTGGTGGTGGTGGTGGTAGTAGTAGTAGTAGTACTGAAATTGGAATCGGGAAGCAGTGGGGCGATGGAGTCGGCAAGTACTGGTGAACCTATCACTGCCTATATACATTTTCATCAACACACATGCACTGCTAAACTGGCACGGGTCTGGTATCCCCCTTTTTTCTCCGCAAAAGGGGCAAGCGGCAGATTCGATCTCCTGCGGGAGAGCCTCGCAGGATGAAAGCTGGTTTGGAAATGGCATCATATATAGAGCCATGTCCTTCGGGACCTTTTACAGATCCCTTAGGGGCCTGTTAAAGATCCTATTCTGGTCTGCTGCTACATGCCGTTAACTGTGCAGGCGAGCATATAGGGACCTTTTACACTTTTACAGATCCTATTCCGGGCTGCTGTTTTGCAGCAAGCATGTTCATGCGTGGGCATCAGAGCAGCACCCATCCCTCTGGCACGTCGTCGCCCAAGGCGCGGATGAAGGTGAACTGGCCCACATACATGATCGCACGGGCACCATCCGGAGTCCGAAACACCTGGTGCCCGTGAACCCGGCCAGTGAGCTCACGAAACTGCAGCTCTGGATGCCGACGTACGCCCTGATCCGGGCAACATGCAAAGTCCATCAAAGTGATGCAATTTGCGTATCCCGGACGTCGAAGGACCAAAAACCTTGTTGAGCATAGGCCCTTCTGTTGGTCCTGGTTCCACAACGGAAGAAGACGTGGCCCAAATTTTGCCCGTCGTGGTGCAAAATGAGCCACTCATCATTCCGCCCCAGGTGACGCATGTCCTGGTACTTGAACAGGCTGTACCTGTGCAGGGCAAACAGGACAGGTCGCAGGTAAGCCACGGGGAATCTGCAAAACAAGATCAAGTGGTTTGAGCAGAAGCGCCGGTTCCACATGCATGCCTGCACATGAGAAGAGACAACAAGGTTTTTAGGGTTTAGGGCTTCAGGGGGCTGCATGGGTTATGACAAATTTGGGGCTGTTGTTGTCGAGCCAAATATAAGTTATAAGTTATAAGTTATATAACATTAAACGGGGTAGAATCAGGGTCGCTTGGTGGGATAAATCGGGGTCGTTTCCATTATGTCGGTGTAGGGTAAAACGGGGTGGTTCACATTGATATTGTGGATTACTGTGTCGGGGCAAAATAGGGTGGTTTCCATAAAAGTGTGGTTACATGATCTACAACATCAGGTGGGGAAAAGTAGGGGCGGCATAGACATTGACATTGACATAGACATGTGACATTGACATAGAAATTGTGACTTGTGACATTGACATAGACATAGACACATAAGACGTGGAAGTGTCGTGACATGTGACATGTGACCCGACAACTCAGACGACTCTTACCCTTCCCGCCCTTCCCCAGGCCCTCTGCCAAACCGACGGAATTTTTTGGCGCCACCCGTGCACTCGGCTTTGAGTCAAGCGCCGCGCGCCGGCAGCGTGGAGGCCTGGCTGACAGCCGAAGGCACGTTGTGAGGGAGCCGCCGAGCTGCGCTGCTGGCCGCCGTGGCAACCGTGGTTGGAGGCCTGGCTGACAGCCGAAGGCACGCTGGCACGCTTTTGCCTGGCTGACAGGCGAAGGCACCGCTGCTACTGGCTGACAGCCGAAAGCAGAAGCACTGGCCTTGCTGACAGCAGAAACTCAGCGCCACTGCCTGTACCTTTCACCGCGATCCCTGCGTGCCTGGCTCGCGTGCGTGTCGCCCCTTTCGTCTCTGGTCTGGCGGGAGCGATCGGGGAACATGGCTCTTGAGGAGGGCCCCTGCGCGCCTGTGCCCCTGAGGTTGTGGACCTGCGCGCATCTCGACATTGCCAACGTCGAAGGCGTTGCGCCTGGTAGTGGCGTGGCAAGAGTGCACATCTGCCCTAGCCTCTATGAGGCGCTGAACCATGGTCACCGAGCCGACGCCGGCAGCCCGCAGCAAGGCAGTGGTCGCGAGCCTCCGGGTTGGCGTTGCGTTCCATCAAAATGGAAGCCAACCTGCACCGCAACCGCTCAGAGTCGCGGCCTGCGCCAGCCAGCATGTGCAGGGCTGTCGCGCCGGCCGGGCGGCCCCTTACTGACCGGCGCCTCCTGCGCCACACGCAGCGCCAAGAGCTCGCTGACCTCACCAAGGCGGACGTCCTCGGCCAAGAGGTGAAGGACGTTGTGGCCGTCCTGGTTGGTGTCGGCGCCGTTGCGGAGCCCGTGGTGCCCAGCACCTCGTCGACCTGCGCCAGCTCTGCCAGAAGGCGTTGTCTGTCCGAGCGCGCCTTCACGATGCGCGGACTTACCTCAGGCTGGGGCGCAGTGTCCGCGTCTCTTTTGACCTGCTGGCCCTGCTGGCTGACAGCCGAAGAGCGGCGCGGCGGCGGTGGTCGAGGAGGGAGAGGGTTCTGGTGGCCAGCCGGAGGCAGAGTGGGCTGGGACGGCGCTGCCTGGCTCGCCGCTGCAGCAGGCACTGCGGTGGCGCTCGACGCTGCTGCCGCTTCCTCTGGTGCTTCTCTTGTCTCTGCCTGGCTGACAGCCGGAGTCGCTGCAGGAGCAGGTGGACCACTTGCTGGGGTCTGGCTGACAGCCGGAGTCGGTGCTGCAGGCGGACCACACTTGTTGGGGCCTGGCTGACAGCCGGAGTCGGTGCTGCAGGAGGCGCTGCTGCAGCTGGGGTGCTGCTTTCTGCAGTGACACAAGGTCGCGGTGCCTTTGCAGTGGTGGGGACTCCTTCGTTTTCTTCTTTGACGGCTTCTGGCTTCTTCTTCGGAGGTGCTTTCAGCTCAGGGGCTGCGCTGTCTTGGCCGAGGGCTCACCAGGAGGAGCCTTGGAGGTAAGCGGCAGCTGTGGCGGCTTGGTTTCCTGGCTGACAGCCGAACCTGCCGCTTCGCGGGCCCGCACCTCGCGCTGCTTCTCCCGAATCTTGTTCATGTGCCACTCTGTCATGAGGTGCGCTTGCAGGTGCAGGTCCGACGGACACGTTATGTCGCAGATCAAGCACGAGTTGCCGCTGGTGACGTCGAAGAGATACCGCGGCTCTGGCTCCACGGCCTCTGCCATGGCCGTCGGCATCCTTTTGACAGGAACGTCCTTCTGGCTGACAGCCGAAGTCTGGCTTTGGCCGCCTTGGTCACCTTTGCCTTTGCCCTTGCTCTGGCTGACAGCCGAAGCCGGGCTTTTGCCGCCTTGGTCACCGCCCCAGCAAACTCTGAGAAGAGCTGCGGGCAACCACTGTTTGTACTTACCTTTGCCCTTCTGGATTGGCCGCTTGCGTTCATCAAGATTGATGAGATCTTCTGACGTTTTGGCGTGCCGCCCATTGTATCTCCCAATCAAGCTGCGTACTCTCAAAGCCACCTGATGCTTGTGTTGTTTGGAAAGCTTCAGACTGCGTGCTAGTCTCGCAAACTTGGTCGACAGCGGCCCTCGGTGAGCTGGGGTGTCTGTGCTCTTCCTAACCTCCCTGACCAGCGCATCGAGCTGCTCCAACTCCTCATCCGACATGTCTTCTGGCTGTCAGCCGAAATTTCAAAGGTCGCAAGGGCGAAAGCGCATGGCTCAGAACGAACCCCTGTTCGAGCCACCTTTTGGATCACAAACAACGGCGAGTCACTTCTATGAGTCTATGCTGCCATGCTGTCGCCTTTTCAGAAGCACGGCCCACCCTGTACTCACATCCAGTGTCAGCAGTCATATACTCATATAATGACTCATATACACTCATATAGATGGTAGCCATGATAATGACGATATTCGAAATTATATATATATATATATATTTCATATAAATATAATGTGAATTATTGTATTATTAATATTAATCAATTAATAATTAATTATTAGAAAATTAATTAAAATTCGAAAATTCGTATTTCAGGAATCATGCATTTCATGGTTCGCCGGAAATTCCGGAAATTCGAATATCATGAGTCTCATGCTTTTCCGGAAATTCCGGAAAATAGGCTTTCATGAATTTCATGATTTTCCTGAAATTCCGGAAATTCCACAAATTCGGATTTCATGAATTTCATGATTTTCCGGAAATTCCGCAAAATAGGCTTTCATGAATTTCATGATTTTCCGGAAATTCCGGAAAATCGGCTTTCATGAATTTCATGATTTTCGTGAAATTCCGGAAATTCGGATTTCATGAATTTCATGATTTTCCGGAAATTCCGGAAAATAGGCTTTCATGAATTTCATGATTTTCCTGAAATTCCGGAAATTCCACAAATTCGGATTTCATGAATTTCATGATTTTCCGGAAATTCCGCAAAATAGGCTTTCATGAATTTCATGATTTTCCGGAAATTCCGGAAAATCGGCTTTCATGAATTTCATGATTTTCCTGAAATTCCGGAAATTCCGGAAATTCTGATTTCATGAATTTCATGATTTGCCGGAAATTCCGGAAAATAGGCTTTCATGAATTTCATGATTTTCCTGAAATTCCGGAAAATCAGCTTTCATGAATTTCATGATTTTCCTGAAATTCCGGAAGTTCTGATTTCATGGATTTCATGATTTGCCGGAAATTCCGGAAATTCGAATTTCTGTATTTCTGACGTTTTCGATTTGTTTGTACTATATGGCTCTTAATGATTATCGGAATATCTGACATCTGAATTTCCGGGGTGGCAATTGTAGAGTTTCCACAATGCCTGTTTGGCAAGCTCTTGGATTCAGTCAAGTTTTGGGTTTGTTTTTGCCTGGAGCTGCAGAGCTTCCTCGGGCTCCTCCCTTGGATCCCATCCTGGCAGCCCAGGAAGGCCACGGCCCCAAGACCCCAGAGTCCCTCGCGCCGGACCCTCGCCTAGACGCGCATAGGCCTGCTGCCAGGGCCCATCCTTCCACTGATACGCCACGAAGGGCAGCAGCCTGCAACAACCAGCTTCGCAGCTCTCGCACGAGAGGCCTCTCGACGTTCAGCCAGACCTCCGGAGCCTGTCTGCATCCATCAGCTTCGCCAGCCTCAGAAGAGACTTCACCCCTTCACGGCTGACCGCTCTGGAGATCTCTCGGTGTCCCACACTGGTGCTGCCTTGAGGCCGGACTCGAGCCAGACCTGGTGCCAAGCAGGCCTTCAAAAGCCAAAGCGGCCCAAGTGTCCGAGTCCGGGCCCTGCACGGGTCTCTCCCAGAAGAGCTGCACCAGCTTCTCCAGGAACGCAGCATCCTGGCCTGGAGGACGAGACGACTGGTCAGCTAAAGGGCGATCGCTTCTTCTGGGGCTTTTGCCCGTGCATTTCCGAGAGCCCCGCGGCAGTAGATCTCGCCAGCGTGCTCTGCAGCCTGCAATCCCCAAACGGGGAGATTCGGCGACTTTAGCCAGCGGCACGCACGCCTCCTTTGCACCCATCGCCGGCTGCATCGGTATTGGGGCAGTTGAGTTAAACCTTACCATGGCCACGACAAGAAACGCGGCTGCGACTTTGACGGAAGGCCTGCCTCACGCACTTCATTGACCAGAACTGTCCACATTCCTCCAGGTCCTCGCATGGTGGAGTCTGTTCAGCGACTCGGAGTCGACTTCATGAGCCTTGTGACACTCGAGCCGATCAGGATGAACGGCTTCTGCTTCCGGTTGACTTTCCGGAAGCTCTACGGCAGGAGGTGTGGAAGCACGAGGGTCCTCCACCAAAGCGGAGATGCAAAAAGCCCTGCAACCAAAGCGGTGTGGGTCCTCTGCCTCGTAAACCTCAGGTGCAGCCTCACCTACAGCGACGCCGGCCGCCGGCCAGTGCTACAGTGCCAGTCTCGCATCCCGAGCGCTTGGGAGACCCCGATGGCCTGTGCTCCCGTACAGGCTGCAGCTCCGGCTCCACTGCAACGCCTGCTCCTCTGCAGGAGCGAGGAGCACTCAGAACGGCGCAGGCGCAATCTCGCAGAGGACTCCTGTAGCTTCGGGAGGCGGAGCTCCGAAGCGAGATGCAAAATGTCCGCGCACACCTGCCGTGGGGCCGTGCGCTTCGGCTTCTCGCCTCTCGGCCCGAGGCTTGGAACGGAGACGAATGGAGACTAGCTTCACCGAAGCCTGCGGCCCGCAAGCGGCCCCCGCTTTTACATTAGAAGAGAAGTCAGACAACCATGGCCGCCATGGCCGGAGCCTCCTTTGAAACTTGATGCTTCGTCCATGTTGGGCTCCCGTAGAGGAAGTCCACCAGAACGCGGATTGCCTGAGCCAAGCGGCGGCAAGGCTCCAAGGTCTCCATCCCTCCTGGTTTGCATCATTTCGGGGGGAGGCCTCGGCGTGCTTGATGCCGCGCATTTCCAGCTCGAAGGTGTTGCAGGGCATCTGAAGTGAAGCGAAGCGATTCGACTTGAGGAGGCCCCGGCCAGGAGCCCAGCCTTGGCGGAGCTGTCGCAGAGTTGCTTTGCGCCGTCTAAGATCAGCCTGAAAGTGCGAAACAACAGAGGAAGCTCTGCAAAGCAGCGAAGAAGCGCCGAAACGGTGTCCCCTACTCTTACTGCTCCACGGCGCCTCTTCAGAGCAGAAGAAGATGCTGCCAAGACGGCCTCCACAGGTTCGCTTGCAAGGGCCAGCTGCAGGGCGGTAAGGACATGCATGTCAACGAAGACCATGCGAGAAAACTGTACAGGAGATCAGGCACGTCGGAAGCATCCAGCCCAAGAGCATTGTACAGTAACCTGCCAAAAAGAAGGCACCTGGTGTGCCGGGATGTGAATGTCGCCCACGGTGAGCAAAATATCGCACAGCAGGCCCTTGCCACGATGATTCGAAGCTGGGACTCGACACGTGCACTCCAAAGCCCTCACCCATCCCATCACCAAAGCAGAGAGCAGAACGCCTTCGCTTGCAAGGCTTGCAGGCCGAGAGCCAGGGGTGCCTCTCAGACGAGCCGCAGCAAGGGTTGCCCAGGCTTCTGTTGGCCACTCGCCTCGGAAGTAACCTCCAGCGCCGCCGACAGCTTCGAGGCCTCCGACAGCTCTCTTCCTTTTCACTCCGATCACTCCGTTCACCGAGCCAAATCCCGAGACCTCGGCGACCTCGGCTTCGCCGCCCTCGCCGTACAACCGGTCCAGGAGCGCCAAAGCCTCTCCGAGCTCAGGGCCCACGCACCGCTTGCAGGCAGCACTTTTGATCAGAAATGAAGACTATCGAAAAAAGGACGACTTCAAGCACCCTTACCATGCTGGTCAAAATGGTCCCAGCAGAATGCCGTCTCAAAGCCTTTGGAACAGATCCACTGCAGGCAAAAGCACGAGGGCAAACCCCAAACCCTGCAAGGAAATGTCGGCGGCAAGAAAATTCGCGCTTCTACCTGAATCTTACACAAAAGAGTCTGGCAAACTTTGTACCGGTGGCTCTGAAAAACCACACGCGAAGCCCGGCCATTATCGAGGCGATGCTCTACGCCCAAGAAGCTCGCACATCGAAAGTACACATCTACTCAGACGGCCAACGGGCCATCAACGTTACTGTGGGCAAATGGAAGGCGAAAGTCCACAAACATGTGGAACTCAAACCGCACCTGCACTGCGTGCATGGACACCAAGGCACGGAAGGTTACGAGCACGCGGACAGGCTGGCAGAGTTGGGTAAAGCAAACACCCAACCGCAGGGCTTCCGTATACTCCCTCTTCAGGAGAATTCACCTACGCCCGCCGGCTCCAACCACACAGCCACTCAACTAGAAAGTCTTGCTAGAATCCGCCAAAGACGCTCTACCGGGACTCTACCGTACAATCAGTGTCGGCCCAGAAACAAGTGGATCACGCAACCCACTGGATGCGCTTCAGGCCGCCCGCAGCTCTCTGGCGCTAGGCCAAGACAATTGGAAAACATTGCGCAACAAGGCAAAACACATGGCACCGAAGGAACGCATTAACTGGATTTCACGCGCAATTGGTGGGCGATTTAGAAGCGGAGCACTCCACCCTGTGGAGCTCCGCTCGATCACAGCGCAAAGGCTTCGCAGGGAAAAAGTCGCACTTGGCCGGTCCTTTGGACCAAAACCCACGAAGTCTTTAGGGATCACTTGCAAGGAAAATTAACAATGGGCACTGCCTGACATCCCCGATCACGCCGCCACTCAGCGCCGGGAGCGCTTGCCACTCCGTCCAGCAGCTCCAGACGAATCCCCGTTCACCCTTTTTCTTTTTCGAGCTCCGCGAGGTCCTTTATCAGCAAAAAGCCAGGAAGGCACCGAGACCGGATAACATAGATGTGGCAAAGCTAGAAATACTGGATCCTGAGGGAGAACAACTTCCTTTGGAAGTGTACAACGAGGCTTGGACTGCTGGGCCCTCAAGGACGGAAGCTTGGGTCGTTTCGATCTTCAAACGGAAAGGTTTGGACACAGACCCGGCAAACTACCCTCCAGCATAGTGTTACTCAGCATCCGTTATTCGTGTTACGAAGAGCGATGGAGTGGTCAATCATGACGACCACACAGCTTCACTGTCTGTTTTTGGATTGGAAACAAGATTTTGACTCTGTTGACCACACCGCCTTACTGGAAGCTCTTGTAAGACTAGGCATCTCGGACGCCATGATGATCCATGATGCTTGCGATCGCTTCCCTTTACGAAGCCCCATCCTTTTTAATGAAGGGCACACAGGGTCACACCGCAACAGGGAAGGTGCAGGCGGCAATTCGCCAAGGTTGTCCCCTAAGTCCATAGCCGTTCATAGCAGTTCTTACACTCATTATGCCTGATGTGGACGAAGACCTCTTCAAGAAAGGGATGCCAAGGAACACTTGGTCTGTAGCACATCCCACATACGATCTAGAATACGCGGACGACACGTGATTAATGGGAGTGACCAAACCGCAATTGCAAAACATGTTAGAAGCGCTCGAAGATATTGCAGGAGAGTACGGTATGAAGTTGAACTGCATGTATGAAACCGTATTGCGTATGTCGCAACCTGGGTTCTAGTAGAGCCGCCAAGCGGTGTTGCAGCATGGACGCAATAAATTTTAAACATGACATTTAGAAGCGAGATGGGGCTGTAGCTAGCCGGGTCTGTATCTAAGCCCTTGCCTTTGAAGATTGTAACAATTATGGCTTCCCCCCATTCTGGCGGAGTGGTCCCCTTGCTCCTTCTGTGTCTACGAAAACGGAACTGTTGTGTCACCCACGCGGTGATCACACCACCCTTAGGTTTAGAGATGGAACTAAAGTTCCTAACGTGAGCACAGTGAAGTATTTGGGCACCATGATCAGTTGGACCAACTCTTTCGAAACCGCTTTCTACCATCGATTGGGATTAGCAGAGGAAGCACATAAGAAGTTAAGGCTAGTCTGGAACAGTTCTTTGTCCGGGAGAACCAAAATCAAGATCGTTGAGGCCACCTTTACTAGTGTACTGATCTACGGACTAGACACAATCATGCTGACTCCGAAGCAGCTACACCGAGTAGATGGACAATACTGTCATACCGCCAATACCAACTTTTCGTCAGAGTCCTTCAACAGAACATGGAAGAACCTACCCATAACGTCCTTTTCGGTTCCGTTTTCAGAGATAGGATTATTCTGAAGGGTCGTAGACGTGGGATGCAGTTTCCGTATTGGTTAGAGGTTTATGCTAGCAGATGCTTCCCAGACTATAGGCCGGACCACACCGCCCCACATAATAGATACTTACAGATCGCGAAGCTGGTGAGAAGCCCTTCTTTTGAGATGGCACCTAAGCGCGCGTTCACAGAGCGCGCATGGCTCTAGCAAAAAAACGCCATATCTGTGAGGATTGACCATTCCATTGCGGGCCTGAAATAAACAGCGGGTGCCATGTTCCTTTTGCGGCCCTGAACCCGAACTGGTTGGACCTGAAGGTGTGGTCGAATTGCTTGGCTAGCGTTTTCTGGATCATCGCGGCGTAGATTTGATATGTGGTGTTGAGCAAAGAGATTAAAGCCGAAATCTGTTAAATTTAACCAAGCGGGCCCGGCCCGGTTAAAGCCGAAATCGATTAAATTTAACCGGCCCGGCCGATTAAAGCCGAAATCTGTTAAATCTAACCGACCCGGCCCGGTTAAAGCCGAAATCGGTTAAATTTAACCGGCCCGGCCGATTAAAGTCGAAATCTGTTAAACTTAACCGACCCGACCCAGTTAAGGGCCATGATTAGTTCGTTGGCGAGCCCATCTGGTCCTGGAGCTTTTTGTTTCTTAAGTTTGCCCAACGCCGCGCGTAGGTCTTCCCTACTGAATGGGGCCTCGTCTGGGGCTTTTTCGTAGATCGGTTCCCTGTTCATTCGACTTGATGCGGTGTGGTCTGGGATGGCCGGAGCCCCCCATTGCTTATCCTGCAGATGATCCCTGAAAACTATGTGTGATTTGGACCACGGTTGCGGTTGACCGTCTTTTATTAGGTGGCTACGCTTACCGACAAATCCCTTGCGCTGCTTGCGAACGGTATTCCAAACAGTAAAGTTATTTGCGCCAGGGTCCGCCGCCAGCTATTCATGTACCCAGTTCACTTTGTCGTTCCGCGCCATTCGCTTAGCCTGATTGTGTCGCATTTTCCAATCGTCGGTTTGGCGGGCCTGTGCGACTCTAGCCTAATCCAGGGCCTGTAGCGTTGCGTCGCGGATCCAAGGCGTCCGGGGTTTTGCGGGGGTGTGGTCGAAAGATGTCCCTCGATGCAGTTGAGAGCGCTGTGGTCACTTGAACCGCTGTGTGGTCGGACGCGGGACCGACTTCGTGGTGAAGTTTGGGTATGCCTTCGTTACGCCCTCTTCAGCTCGTGCCATTTTGCTACCCCTTTTTGCTAATGCGTCAGCCTTCTCGTTGCCCTCCATGCCTGCGTGAGCTTTGACCCACTGGAAGTGAACCGTGAGCCCGCATTTGTACGTAAGCCTTTGGGCAAGTTCCACCGTATTTTTGTGGGTTTTGGCCTTCCATCTACCAGTGATAACGTTGATGGCCCAGAGGCTGTCTGAGTGGACCACCACGTTACTACAGTCACGTTCCCTTGCGTGAAGAAGGGCTTCGATAATCCTGAAATTTCCTCTGTAGTGTTGGAACCCACCGTTGCCCCGAGGTGTGATGCGTGGTATGGGTCAGTAATCACTGGCCCTGCCGCCGTGAGCCAGCCGTTTGGCTGAGGTGACGCCCAACCCCACCCTGCTGGGGTTCTGGAGGAGCACTTACCTTTAAAACCCGATCCGTCAGTGAACACTACGAACTTGGCGGTGTGGTCAGAAGCTACAGCTTTCTCCATTTTTCCGCTATCTTCGACTCAATGCCCATCTGCCGTTTCCACTCCTGGTTGAAACGATCTTTGTCTTGCTGTGTGATCTGTCCTAAGTTGAGACTTGGCTCTTGGGGGCCTGACTTGATCCTGCTAGCAAGCTTGACCTGTACCTCCGTGACTACCAGATAATGATCTGAAGGGAATCCCGTAAAGAGTTTTGATCTACAACTGTTAATAGAGGGTAGCCACTGAGTACGAGTAAAGCAGTGGTCGAGTCGCTGAAATCTAGTGGGGTCCGGATTCGGTTCTCGCTTGGTGGGTGGCACAGGGTGTGAAAGGTCTAGGAATGATCTATTTCGTGCTGCCAGGTCAATGCAACTGATTCCCCAGTGCTCTTGCAACTTCGCATAGAATTGCTGCATCGCTAAGGGGTCTGTGATGAATTGGGACCACTCGTTGGGAGGAGCTGCCTTGTCCCTATATGTGATGTGATGTATAGGTGAGGGGGTTTTGTAGGATGCGACGTCAACCATGTCGAGAAGCTGCATAGCATGGACACACAAACTACGGTTTGATTGAACGAAAAGGTGTGCTCTTCCTTTACCGTAAGCAAAAGGCCCCGCGACTCCCTGATCGCTATAATGTTGGGCCTGGAACCTCACATTGAAGTCTCCTACTAAGTAGACTGGTTCGGGCTGGGGAATTTTCGTGATATGATCTTCCAGTTGCATCCAAGATGGTTGAAAAGAAGTTTCAAAGTCGTGCCCCGCATGAGGTCCGTATGCACCTACGACGTGGATTCTACCACCCTTTTTGTTGAATGTGAGATGAATGATGCGATTGGATAACTGAAGGATGTCAGCGAGGTGTGGCCTAAGTCTGGGATGAAT